GGACGCAATGCCTTCCTAAAACCTGCTGGATCTGCCCTCCTGTGCTTGGTGCTGAGGACTGAACTAGAACGGGTGCTTTGCAAGGGTTCTCCGTGGCGTGAGAACGCTTTCTCTCTGGACTGCCCGCGGGAGGCCCACGCCGATCTTGTCTGGCACATTTGTCCTGATGCAGGTGATCTCGGCCCGTTGGAGAAGAGATGCATTCCGTCAGGTGTTCCTCTGCGCCATTGGCACGCAGCAGGGCACACAGCCGCCGTCAGGGGCCGGTGCCTGTACTTTGGAGAAAAAGTGAGGAGTCAGCCCCCAAAAACAGGCTTTTGGCTCCCACTGGCTTAGAAAAAGTGCTCCACTTCTCAAAAGGGAGCTCCCGCGGAGCGGGGCCCCGGGGTTACAGTTCAAATGTCAGGACTTGTGACACAAGAGCCTCGAGGTGTGCACTACTGGCACCGATGCGTGGACGGAACCCCAGAGCTTGCATTTCAAATGACCCTGTGCCGCCGAGGGAAGAACAGCGGGGCGGGGCTGCAGTGGACACAGGGCCAGGAGAGACCCCTGGACTGACTCAGGCCGGGTATGTCCAGAGAGGCAGGGGGATCTTTGTGACAGCCCCGCCACCGCCCCTCAAAATGTACCCATGTGTGTCCGAGTAGAACGGTGCCCCACAGGGTTTGCAGTGGCTGATTTTTTTTTCCAGAAACAGATCACCAGGCCTTTCTTCCACATGTCTCTGGGTAGACTCAAACTGCCAACTTTTCGGTTAGCTCATTAACTGCCTCACCTAGTCGCCCAGGGAATTCTCATCAGTCGTTTGCTACCTATCCCTTTACCTTTGGGTGAAAGATTGTGTTGCGAATGGGGTGCAGCCTTGGGAGAACTTTCTGTTAGACACCTGACACCTCCAGGAACACACACTCCCACCCCAACCCCCACCACACACACACACACACACACACACACACACACACAGAGAAGGAGACAGGAGATCAGTGGCCTGGCCTCCCTCAC